GTAGGGCGGCCTATTACTGCAAAAACGGGCCCCCCAGATGAGCGCTGTACACACTCCGCCTCTTCCAGATGGGGGGTCCTTTTCATTTTAGGCTTAAGGCAATTGCTCCGATTCTGCCGGCACGCTTTCTCGGTAGGGGGACGCGAGTTGCTCAATGCTGCGAGTTAGCGAGAAGAAAGGCTGGTCCCTGTTTGATCTTCTCAAGTCACCAACCCTTTATTTTTAGAAGTGAAAACAAAGTCAGCTCTTTTACGCGAAGGACTGAGAAATAGCACCTGCGATGGAGGATGCTCTCAAAGTTTTCGTGAGGAGGAGGAGGAGGGGCTCCTGTAAGGTTTTCTTTCTTTCTCTCTCTTCCTATTCATTTTTTTCTCTCCCCCAGCCAATTTGTCTTTTAATCGTCACCTTTGCAAAAACGGTACAAGTATAATTTGAGTGCCCCTCTGAACGTAGAATAACAGAGTTAGAAGGGACCTTGGAGGTCTTCTAGTCCAGCCCCCTGCTCGAGCAGGAGACCCTGTACCATTTCAGACAAGTGCCTGTCCAGTCTCTTCTTAGACGCCTCCAGTGATGGAAAACCCACAACTTCTGAAAGCAATCTGTTTCCAGCAGTGGATTGCTCACACCGTTAGGAAATTTCTCCTTAGTTCTAGGTCGCTTCTCTCCTTGGCTGGTTTCCAACCATTGTTTCTTGTCTTGCCTTCTAGTGCTTTGGAAAATAGCTTGACCCCCTCTTAGGAGCCCCTCAAATATTGGAAGTACAAACATTGGACATACTCCGCTTAGAAGCAATGCTGGAAAGCAAAAATGATAAATACATTCTGCAATATTGCAGAACTGTTGGGAAAAGAAGGGATGGGGTGTCTTTGGCAATGATTAGCAGGTGTACTTATGATATAGGTAGTCCTTGACTTACAACCATTCATTCAGGAACTGTTTCAAGTTACAACGGCACTAAAAGAGTGACTTCTGACCTTTTTTCACAGTGACGACCATTGCCTCATTCCCATGGTCACGTGACCAAAATTCGGACGCTTGGCAACTGACTCATGTTTATGACGGTTGCAATGTCCCAGGGTCACGTGACTTTCTGGCAAGCAAAGTCAATGGGGGAAGTTGTTACTAACTTAACAAGTGTAGTGATTCGTTTAACAACCGTGGCAAAAAAAGAAGTTGTAAAATGGGGCAAACCTCACTTAACAACTGTCTTGCTTAGCAACAGAAAAGTGGGACTCAATTGCGGCCCTTTGGTGTACTTTGTGTACTTTTCTACTCACTGCCAGACAGTTTTAAACTGTAGGTTATTTTTTTTCCTTTGTTAAGGAGAAGACACACAAAAAAAAGGCAGGTTTAAGCTACAGTACATCCAGGGGCACTGAATGCTGATTTTCCTGGAAGTCTAAAGAATGATTATTTTGTTAAAATTTCATGGGTTGGTGTTGGTCCCTTTCTACTTAATATGATTTTCTTGTCAGTCTTTCCCAACATTTCTCTTCTTTGCTGCTCAGTGTCAGCAGCATTTTTGTTCCATGGCTGTGTCTCCAATGCATTTAACCGTGGCACAAAGATGCCCTGACAATATTTATTTTCCGCTTGTCCCTTGATACTCTCCTTACCTCGTCCTAGCCTTTAAGTTCTCATTAGCTGCACCGTCTTGAAGCACATCCAATACTGGCCGTCAATAACCTCAGCCTATAAAATCTGTAGGCTTTTTCACACAATTCCATGGCAGCGGGGGGGGGGGGGGGGGAGAGACCGGTGACTGCCAGTGACTTGGGAATACAAGCAATAGAGTCAGGATAGGTATCGGCAATGAGAATAGGAAATGTCATGGAGTGTTTTCCTATCCAGGGTGAGTTGATAGCAAGTCAACTCAACGGTGGAGAATGGCTCCTGAGAGAGATGGAGAACTGGTAAAAAGGGAATAAATATAAAGGGAGGCAAATAGCAGAAGGGGAAGTAAGAAGAAGTAATCCAACTTTTTTATTGTTTAAAGCCTATTAACAATCCCCAGGAAAAGCAAAATAAATAACAGAAGCCAAGCCAATAACCATCCCTAACCGTGACTGATCTCTATTCCTGTATTACACTATGCATCTGTGTTGACGCCATCTGGATTTGAAAGGCAGTATATCATGTATATAATTTGTGTGTGTGTGTATGTGTGTGTGTACACACACACACACACACACACAGTGGATTTTTTTTTTTGAAGGATGGGCTGCAATTTGGATGAGCTATGCAAATCTAACTCTACAAACAGAAATCAAGGTGAGTCCAGCCCAGGTCAATTTTCTGCAGCTCCTTCCCCTCCACCTTGATTCTATTATGCATTTTATGGAGACAACACGGTGCAGGGTGTCTAAGGAAGCACCTTATACCATTGGAACTAACCAGTAGAATGTAAGATGAGTAGAATGGTCTACTTTGGCTCCCTTCGGCCAAAGAATTTTGGCTGGTGAGGTCCAGGAGAAGAGCCTTTTCTTCTGTGGCCCCTTCCCTCTGGAATATTCTCCCGTCAGAGACGGAGAGCCACCCCTGCAGTCCTGGCCTTCCGGAAGAGCCTAAAACCATGGCTCTAACACTTGGCCACTGGGGGTGGAATAGAGAAGATCTTGGTTTTAATTTTAATTTTTAGCTTTGTCTTCTACTTCAATTGTTGTTGGGTGTTTATTTGCACTTTTTAACTTTTATTATATTGTAAGCTGCCCAAATTCGCTGTATTACTGAGATGGGCAACATAGAAACCCATTAAATAAATAAACAAATAAACAAATAAACAAATAAACAAATAAACAAATAAACAAATAAACAAATAAACAAATAAACAAATAAACAAATAAACAAATAAACAAATAAACAAATAAACAAATAAACAAATAACCCCTTCATGTCATCATCTCCTGGCCAACTAATAGAGACCACTTGCTGGGAACGACAGCATCATCTGGGCACGGAGAGAAACAAAAAGCTAGAGTAAGATGGCCCTTGATCTGATTTATTCACAGAATCCTACATTTTGTAGAAGTGATGATATACTTACAGGAACCTTCTTGGGAAAATAAGTTGACTTCTCAAGATAATCTTGCAGTCTGTTGCAGCTCCTGCTGGTTAAACTGTTACAGAAATTTTCAAGACAAGCTCTTATCCGAAGTAGAAAAAAAAATGTTGGTTTCCCCCCCCACCAATTAATCAAGGTTGTTAAACAGTGAACAACAACAACAAAAACAACAACAACAACAATAATAATAATAGGTCATCTAGTCCAACCCCTGCTCAGGCAGGCAGGAAACCCTACATCATTTCAGACAAATGGCTGTCCAGTCTCTTCTTAAAAACTTCCACTGTTGGAGCAGTCACCGCTTCTGGAGGCAGGTTGTTCCACTGGTTAATTGTTCTAACTGTCAGGAAATTTCTCCTTAGTTCTAGGTTGCTTCTCTCCTTGATTAGTTTCCATCCGTTGCTTCTTGTCCTGCCTTTAGGCGCTTTGGAGAATAGCCTGACTCCCTCTTCTTTGGGGCAGCCCCTGAGATATTGGAACACTGCTATCATGAAATGCTTCTTCCTAGTTACTTCATCTTAGAAGCCCTGCTACAAAAAAAACCCCCTATTGTTCTGTGATAGAATACTCTACAGATGGAAAAAGCCATTTCATCTGCAGAAAAGTGTCTGAGAAACACTTCTTCCCAAGAACAAATAAATTCTGCAGGCCAGAATTTAAGACTTCCCTAATCTCAACCATTCCATACATGTAGTTCTTGCTTAACGACTGCTCACTTAGTGTCTGTTCAAAGTTACAGTGGCGTTCCCCGGAGCTACTTATGACCCGAGTTCTGAGTTCCGATGACTGACCTGTTCCCCCCAAAGACACGATCGTATTTTGGACGCTTTGCAGTTGCCTCACACTTACAGCCATTTGCGCTGTCCCCTAAGTCCATAATTTTTGGCATTTGGATTCCCAGTTTAGAAAAAAAAAACACCCATTGAAAAAAAGGGCCTCGCTTAATGACCATGGTGTTGACTTAATGACTGCTTTAAAAAAGGTTGTAAAATCAATCGTGGCCATGTTTTAACAACCACCAGAATTTCTGGCCGTAATTCTGGATTCACTGACAGTCTTACACCGAGAACTCCTGTACTTGCTTGGAGTTGAAGTCTGGCCCACAGGAAAAGCACCAAGTTGTGGGCAAGAATGGTATAAAAAAAGAGTCGCACGTTTTTTTTGCCAAGCTAAGGACCCCATTTAACATTGGAGTGGCACTTTATTTATTCCAATGTATTGTAGCCACCCAACTCCAATGGATTCAGTGGGGCGTAGGAAATAAAAAAAAAAAATCCATAAAAACACTTAAGACATAAAACCATATTATAGACAGCCCAAACTAAAACAACCTTAAAAGCAACACAAATCAAACCAAACAGCCGCCCTCTTCCCAAAATATACAATAATATGTTAACCCCAGGCTTGGGACAGATGCCAAGTTTCGAAAGCTTTCTGGACCCCTATGAGAGAAGACGCTGTCCTTTTCTTGCTGGGGGGGGATGCTGTTCCAGAGGATGGGCCCACGACAGAGGAGGTCCCCTCCTCCAGCTTCATTGAATTTTAAATGCATTAACTCTATGTAAACAAGTTAATTTTCGTATGATTACTATCTATGTAATACCAATCCATTAAAAAAAGAGACTACAATTAAGTGGCAACACTTTGACGGACTTTGGGGGAACACAGATTCANTTTTTGAGCCAGGTCTCACCCAATCTGTACTGGTACCTTTGATTAGACTAAACCTTACTGTAGTTTGTTTCATTGTGGTTTAGCTTCAAAATGTTGTGCAAATCCAATTGTTTTGATTTGCATCCTTTGCATAACAGAATAAGAGAGAGAGAGAGAGATGTTTAATGAGAAGTATACTTTTAACAAATGCTTTGAATTTTATATCCCAACTTGAATTCTTTCTTTCTCTTTCTTTCCCATTTTCAATAGCATTTGCAAACATGGATTCTCTTGGTCCCGCGATTAGTAGGAAAAAGGAAGCCTAAGCCTTTAATTTTGGTAAGTTACATTTTAACAGGACCTAGACGATTTAGAATGATTGTCTTGATTTTTATAGTCTGAATGATAATTCTTCTTGAATGGCCTTTGTTAAGACTGTTTCAGTTTGGTTTTGCGTGCAGGTAGTCCTTGCATTACAACAGTTTGTTTAGTGACCGTTCGAACTTACGACGACACTGAAAAAAGTGACTCATGACTGTTTTTCACACCTACGACCATTGCAGCATCTCCATGGTCATGTGATCACAATTCAGATGCAACTGACTCATACTTATGACGGTCAGGTGATCTCCTTTTGTGACCTTCTGACAAGCAAAGTCAACGAGAGAAGCCAGATTCACTTAACAACTGTGTTACTAATTTAACAACTGCAGTGATTCACTTAACAACTGTGGCAAGAAAAGGTCGTAAAATGGGGCAAAACTCACTTAACAAATTTCTCACTTAGCAACGTAAATTCTGGGCTCAGTTGTGGTCATAAGTCAAGGACTACCTGTGTATAAAAAAGTGTTACCCATTTTTCATCATGAAACCATAAATGGGTTTAATGGACACAAGAGAGTAGATTTTCTCTGGTAGCCACAAAACTATGAAACTTCAACCCTTTAGTTGGTGAGGTTTTTTTTTATTATTATTATTTCTCATCATCTAATACTTTGGCTGCATGCAGCAATCTGTAGGCAAGCTTTAAAAATCTTTAGAGATTTTTCTCATTTGGCTGTGTCTTAGACGCAATTCTCAAATCTTTGGCTGTCATATATTAAGTTATGGTTTGCTGAATCGTTGTGAGGAACAAAAATCTTCATGGTCTGTGTTTGCACAACACATAATGAGAATCACAACAGCTAGGTTCTTTACAATATGTTCAACCAAAAGCAAATAATGATAGATGGGATTGCTATCATGCAGGTGTATCTCACGGCAGCCTAATTAAACTTGCTTTATAGTTGGAATGTTTTCAATATGCTAGTTCAGGGGTAGGGAACCTTGGCTCTTTTATGACTTGTGGACTTTAATACCCAGAATTCCTGAACCAGCCATGCTGACTCGGGAATTCTGGGAGTTGAAGTCCACAAGTCATAAAACAGCTAAGGTTTTCTATCCTGTGTTAGTTGGATTTTCATCAACCTCCTTGAGCATCTGGAATTACAAAGACATCTGATAAAATGAGTGAATAGAATCAGTCAATCATCCTTCTGGTAGAGAAAGCAACCATGGATAATTCTCTTTAGCAAAGGCACAGAAAACATTTCTAGAGATGTAAACATTATGCCCAGATTTGTCATTTTGGGCTAGCCAATAAGATTAGGCATCACCCATTTGAATTAAATGGGCCAACCACCGGACCTTGTGGATTTCCTTTAGGTTGCACCCCAATTTCAGTGGGTTTGTAAAATGACAGCCTCCCCTAATGGCTGACTTCATGAAGAGAAGAGTAGGCAGAGTTGAAAGGTGGAGTTAAATGCGTCATCAATTTAGAGTCCTTGCGTTGCCACAAGAGATCCTAGTCCAGCCCCCCCTTGAATTCCATTGACCCTTACCTAGCACCAATTTAGTTAGTTGACTAGATTCTTGTGTATAGATATTGAATAACTCTTCTATGCTACAACTTTACAAATGATCCTGATTCTTTCTAATACTTCACACAACATGTTAAGCCCACATTAACAATGCAGTGGTTGTGTTCACTTCAGCATGCTGCGCATAAGCAACGAAGTGACATTAGGCATGATTGAAGGTACACAACCTGCTCCCTTATTAAGCACTCACCCTCATTTTTGGTCTGTTGCAGGAACCCAGCTATCTTGTGATCAAGGCATTCCTAGAGACGAAGGAGGCCAATCAGAAAGAGAAAGAAAAATTCCTAATCCCCTCTTACAGTGTTTAATTTTCTTATAGCTCAAAGTACTGTAGACCTTGATGTCCTATTTCTTTAGCAACAGGGTTCCCACTGTTTTTCTTGGGTGGCCAATTCCACCGTCTAATAATAGTCCTCTCCATTAGGAAATGCCCCCTGCTATCAGATATTATACATTTATGATGTGATTGCTATCCTTTTCCATCTCTCTCTCTCTCTCTTCTCTTTATCTCTCCCCCTCTCTCCAATCTACAAAGCTTTTCGTAGCCCCCTTCTTCACTCTCCAGTATTGATGGCTTCAGATATCTCTTTCTAAAGAAGAAAGCTGTGGGGCACAGGTTGAGTTTTCTCTGTTCATCCTCACCCCAGCAATGCCTGAACCCCAACATCTTTTAAAGTGCTGGGACAGAGACTCCACGGAGAATTAATACCAAATCAAGTTCTTACACTAGAGGGTACTTAAGTGAACAGTCTGGCTTCTTAGTAAAGCTAGCAAGATAGCTGGAACATAGCCAAGGTTTTTTCAAGGTAGGTCACCATATTGCTTCTTTCCCCATAACTCATTTCTGTTTGGATTTTGCTGTGCAGAAAGACCATTCCCCCCCCCCAGGTTGATATTCCTGGGGACAGTTCTGCTTTTATCTCTGTGTGAATGACGGAAAGCTTTTCACTCGGATATTAATTGTACATTTCGAGGGGCTTAGTGCACCATCTCTAGTCTATGATCTTCACTTTGTCAAGTTGGGATCCCGGCAGGCCATGACTTTAGAAAGCGTCGTTGGGGTGGGAGCCACAAAGTTCTATTGTTGCAAATTGTGGCACGAGGCAGTAGGGCGGCCTATTACTGCAAAAACAGCCCCCCCAGATGAGCGCTGTACACACTCCGCCTCTTCCAGATGGGGGGTCCTTTTCATTTTAGGCTTAAGGCAATTGCTCCGATTCTGCCGGCACGCTTTCTCGGTAGGGGGACGCGAGTTGCTCCATGCTGCAAGTTAGCGAGAAGAAAGGCTGGTCCCTGTTTGATCTTCTCAAGTCACCAACCCTTTATTTTTAGAAGTGAAAACAAAGTCAGCTCTTTTACGCGAAGGGCTGAGAAATAGCACCTGCGATGGAGGATGCTCTCAAAGTTTTCGTGAGGAGGAGGAGGGGCTCCTGTAAGGTTTTCTTTCTTTCTCTCTCTTCCTATTCATTTTTTTCTCTCCCCCAGCCAATTTGTCTTTTAATCGTCACCTTTGCAAAAACGGTACAAGTATAATTTGAGTGCCCCTCTGAACGTAGAATAACAGAGTTGGAAGGGACCTTGGAGGTCTTCTAGTCCAGCCCCCTGCTCGAGCAGGAGACCCTGTACCATTTCAGACAAGTGCCTGTCCAGTCTCTTCTTAGAAGCCTCCAGTGATGGAGAGCCCACAACTTCTGAAAGCAATCTCTTTCCAACAGTGGATTGCTCACACCGTTAAGAAAGTTCTCCTTAGTTCTAGGTCGCTTCTCTCCTTGGTTGGTTTCCAAACATTGTTTCTTGTCTTGCCTTCTGGTGCTTTGGAAAATAGCTTGACCCCCTCTTAGGAGCCCCTCAAATATTGGAAGTACAAACATTGGACACTCCGCTTAGAAGCAATGCTGGAAAGCAAAAATGATAATTACATTCTGCAATATTGCAGAACTGTTGGGAAAAGAAGGGATGGGGGTGTCTTTGGTAATGACTAGCAGGTGTACTTATGATATAGGTAGTCCTTGAGTTACAACCATTCATTCAGTAACTGTTTCAAGTTACAACGGCACTGAAAAGAGTGACTTCTGACCTTTTTTCACAGTGACGACCATTGCCTCATTCCCATGGTCACGTGACCAAAATTCGGACGCTTGGCAACTGATTCATGTTTATGACGGTTGCAGTGTCCCGGGGTCACGTGACTTTCTGGCAAGCAAAGTCAATGGGGGAAGTTGTTACTAACTTAACAAGTGTAGTGATTCGTTTAACAACTGTGGCAAAAAAAAGAAGTTGTAAAATGGGGCAAACCTCACTTAACAACTGTCTTGCTTAGCAACAGAAAAGTGCGACTCAATTGCGGCCCTTTTGTGTACTTTGCGTACTTTTCTACTCACTGCCAGACAGTTTTAAAATGTAGGTTATTTTTTTCCTTTGTTAAGGAGAAGACACACAAAAAAGGCAGGTTTAAGCTACAGTACGTCCAGGGGCACTGAATGCTGATTTTCCTGGAAGTCTAAAGAATGATTATTTTGTTAAAATTTCATGGGTTGGTGTTGGTCCCTTTCTACTTAATATGATTTTCTTGTCAGTCTTTCCCAACATTTCTCTTCTTTGCTGCTCAGTGTCAGCAGCATTTTTGTTCCATGGCTGTGTCTCCAATGCATTTAACCGTGGCACAAAGATGCCCTGACAATATTTATTTTCCGCTTGTCCCTTGATACTGTCCTTACCTCATCCTAGCCTTTAAGTTCTCATTAGCTGCACTGTCTTGAAGCACATCCAATACTGGCTGTCAATAACCTCAGCCTATAAAATCTGTAGGCTTTTTCACACAATTCCATGGCAGTGGGGGGGGGGGGAGAGACCGGTGACTGCCAGTGACTTGGGAATACAAGCAATAGAGTCAGGATAGGTATCGGCAATGAGAATAGCAAATGTCATGGAGTGTTTTCCTATCCAGGGTGAGTTGATAGCAAGTCAACTCAACGGTGGAGAATGGCTCCTGAGAGAGATGGAGAACTGGTAAAAAGGGAATGAATATAAAGGGAGGCAAATAGCAGAAGGGGAAGTAAGAAGAAGTAATCCAACTTTTTTATTGTTTAAAGCCTATTAACAATCCCCAGGAAAAGCAAAATAAATAACAGAAGCCAAGCCAATAACCATCCCTAACCGTGACTGATCTCTATTCCTGTATTAGACTATGCATCTGTGTTGACGCCATCTGGATTTGAAAGGCAGTATATCATGTATATAATGGGTGTGTGTGTGTGTGTGTGTGTACACGCACACACACACACAAACACGCACACAGTGGATTTGGATGAGCTATGCAAATCTAACTCTGCAAACAGAAATCAAGGTGAGTCCAGCCCATGTCATTTTTCTGCAGCCCCTTCCCCTCCACCTTGATTCTATTATGCATTTTATGGAGAC